TCCTGGCAGCCCCACTTCCCATCCAGCTCCCTGCATGTGGCCTGGGAAAGCAGTCAAAGACTGACCAAAGCCTTGGGACCCTGCACCCCGTGGGGGACCTGGAAGAAGCTCCTGGATCCTGGCTATGGATTGGCTCAGCTCTGCCCATTGCAGCCACTTGGGGAGTGAATCATCGGACAGATCTTCCTCTCTGTCTCTTATTCTCTCTGTATATCTGACTTTCCAAATAAATAACTTAAAAAGAAGAAGAGTTGAGGTGATTCTTTTTTTTTTTAAGATTTATTGGAAAGTCAGATATACAGAGAGGAGGAGAGACAGAGAGGAAGATCTTCCGTCCGATAATTCACTCCCCAAGTGAGCGCAACGGCTGATGCTATGCCGATCTGAAGCCAGGATCCATGAATTTCTTCTGGGTCTCCCACAAGGGTGCAGGGTCCCAAGGATTTGGGCCATCCTCAACTGCTTTCCCAGGCCACAAGCAGGGAGCTGGATGGGAAGTGGAGCTGCTGGGATTAGAACCAGCGCCAATATGGGATCCTGGCGCATTCAAGGTGAGGACTGTAGCCACGAGGAGTTTAGCTGCTAAGGCATGCTGCCGGGCCCGAGTTGAGGTGATTCTTAAAGCTGTATTTATTTACAAGGCAGTCACAGAGAGGAAGAGACACAGGGCTCTCCCATCTGCTGGTTCACTCTCCCAAAGAGCCACAAAAGCCCCTGTGGGCCAGGCAGAACCAGCAACCCAGAAGACCATTGTGGGGCGGCAGGGACTCACGTAATCTGGCCATCATCTGCTGCCTTCCCTGGCAAACTAGCAGGGAGCTAGATGGAAGAAGGCAGAGCAGCTGGCACTTGAACCTGCAATTCAATTTGCAATGCCTGTATTACAGGCAGGAGCTTAATGCTGATTCCAATGCACACCATTTCTCTTGCATATTGACACTGTGCAAAATGTTCAACATAATTCTACCTAAAGCAAGATCAGTAAGATTCCAACATTTTTAATCGAATAGGCTGTCAAGACAAACAAAATTATGCCCAAAGACAGTGAATAATGGATTTAAGCCCACTCAGGTTGGAAATGCACCTTTTATTATCAAACATATATTAAGTTTACAAACAGGTAGACATCAGACAATTTTATCACTGCCAAATCTTCAAATTTTGCTTTAGCTGCTCATCTTTCCTAGAAATTAAGCTATCGAGATCCTAGGAAACCCCTTTCTCCAGTTCCCTCCCACCCACTTCCTCAGTAAGCCTACAGTTGGTACTCATTATCTGTGTTTCATTTGCATCTATCCACTTAAGTGACATAAGATTTCGCAAGTGAAAAAATTTTGCACAGTTCATGAATAGTCATGATCTATAAAATATTTCCTTAAAGTTTTGGGAAAATATTAAAATTGATGGTGGTGATTATTTCAGACTACAGATATTTTTTACTCTTTTTGATTCTTCTTTCTACTTTTGTTTTATTTTACAATTTTTCTCATATTACACTTATTTCCAAGCAGATTAAAGAATGTGAACGTGCAAATATTCACTGCTGTTTGAATAAGGGTCACGACTGAAGCAGTAGATCACAAACAAATCTTGTCTCCCACTATAAACTTTGTAGTAAAAAAGAAAAAAAGATATACTAGCAAATCAAGACTAAAGATTTAAACTGAAGTTGAAGATAACAAATGAAACCAAACCTTTAAGAAGATTAAGAAACCAGTAGTTAGAACCCTTCGCTTAGGTAAAAGCTGGGTTACTGACAGTCATGGTCATAGAGTCTGCTGAGGACTTTCACAAGATGGTCTCCTTTCGTTACCAAGTACTTAGGCATCCTTAGTATTAGTGTATTTTATTGGATAGCCCAGAAAAGCTGTTGAGAAGGTTAAAAAAAAGTGCAGAAAGTGTTTCCTCATAAGTCTATACATCTGAGGTCTTCAAAACATTTGTGGGAAATGCACATTATGAAAATACTCTGCTGTCACAAATACGTATTTTCCCAGACTGTGTCCTTGTCCCTTTCTAAAGGTACAGATTTTCTATTGGTAGCTCAACAAATCTTCTTTTGACAGATGTTTTGCTGATGATTAGGCTATTTACAAAACTTCCTTGTAAACTGGCCATACAAAAAGCAGCCAGTGAGATAAATATCAGGCTTAATAATGAGGAATAAAAAACAAGCTAGTTAACTTTAAGACCAAACAGAAAGATGAGAAAAGGCCTGAGGCTGCCTTTTAGAATAAAATTCATCTTCCCCTCAACTGTTAGATTGTCAGTCGGTTAGAATTAGTTATTTAAAACTGACAATTAATGCTATTAGCTAAGCTGAACCATTTGTTTCTAACCTATCTTTGGAAAATTTATCTTTATAATCCTTAAACTCAATTTAATGGGCAATTTCCATTAAATCTGATGACAAGGAACTCTCAGGAAATAGTCATTAATGTACTAGTTTATGCTATTTGCACATCTCATATTTAATTATAAGGTCAGAACTAAGATAAGTTCCTATAATTGCAAAGTAGCAATCAAATTAGTTAAAAAGTCACTGTTTTCTACTATTATGTGAACTTATGAATTTTAAGTTGCATTAAGAAAGGATCAAGTAAACATTATTTACATATTATAGTTAAATATTAAAAGGTATATTTTAAAATAATTTTCATATTTTTTCTATTTACTATTAGGTAAATTATTACAGGTAAATATTACCTACCCTATTTTCAATACCATTAGTTGGTGTCCTCTGACAACTTTACTTGGCAATTTCTCCAAAATAACAATCAATCTTCATTCACATGATACAAAACACACATACACATTCCAAAGAATTGCATTGGGGGCACCTGAAAAATCACAGAAAAATCGAAGCTATCATTACAGAAGCACAGATGCATTACTGATTTTATGGAGTAGTTGGAGGTTGTGGCTATCAAGAGATTGAGGTGTGGCTATCAAGTTGATAGAACAATGGTGTGGTAGACTCCAGTGACTAAGAAGAACCTGAAGCCCAGAAAGAACCCAGTAGAAGACCATAGGTAGCCAAGCAAGACTACTGACAATAGCTGTTGACTTTGCCAAGATATTTTCTGGCAATCGGAGACAGACAAATGTAGTGTATTCTAATAGAATGATTAAGGCATTCATTCCAGAAGCTACTTCTTTGGATGCTGGATCATGTTTCAGAATGTGCCTGATTAAGGACTAATATCTGAGTTTCGCTTTTCCAGCAACATCCTTCTTAATTTAACTTTAGTCTAAGTTCTAGTCTGTAAATGAGAAATGCAAGTAAGAATGAGGGGTCAATTTATTTGTTGTGAGCTTATTAAATTATCAGTGTGTACAATTTAAAACATTTATACATTTTGCAATTTTCAGAAAATTCATGCATTCTTAAAATTATTTAAACAATGATTTTTTCACAACTATTTACAATTAATCTACTTTTGTAGAAATAATCATTTTTAAAAATAGTTGCCAGAAAGTGATGATTTCATACTATCTTTCTATATCAATAAAATTTAAATACATGGTAAATACTACCTACCCTATTTTCAATTAACTGTCAGCTACATCAATAAAACCCAGCAAAATCTGATAATTTACAAACAGTCAAAATAGTAAATACAGGCTACCATTAATTTCAAAGAAAACAAACCTTTTATATTACCGTATAAATATCTTCCCAATCAACACTAACTAGAAATGAGATATTCTATTATTTATTATAAAAAATTCATTTTCAGACATTTTAAAAATCAATGTTAAGAAGCTAGATTATGTGTTTTTAAGTACAAGCAATACTATATATTTTGAGAAAATATTCTCATCAAAAATCATTTCTAATAGATCAAACTTTTTTTGTTGTAATACATGAAGTAGATAATTCTGTCACCCTGGAAAGAAATCATACTTTCTTACTAGTTGAAAACATCTAAATTGAAAGAGATTCTTGGTTTGTTGCTATATTTTTCTCTACTTACATTTTTAACTCTTCAGTTTCTCAAAAGGATCTTAAATATGTGCAAAGTATGCGACTGCCATGCTACCCTTCTGTGCTAATGAGGCACCTGATATGTGAAAAAGAATTCAATGAAAAATTACCCTATTTGGATTAGTGCTTATGTTTGAAAAAAATATTTACTGTACTACTATTCCAAAGATTTCCTTATTTTTGTAGCATGTATCTGGCTAAGACAACTAAATTTAAAAAATATGATAAAAATAGTTGAAGTTATAATAAAGTACATTTTTATTGGCATAGAACATATACTTAAAATTTGAGTGTTGACTCTTTAAGATAAAATATCTCCTAAAAAATTATGTTTGATCACTGTCCCAAAAATGTATACAGCTGTTTTTCCTAAATAGTTATATACACAGTAGTCCACTTAAAAAGAACCCTGTTATAACCTACTGAATACAATGTGGCCTAATTTATGAGTGAGTTACCCTCACAGCATAGAAAATGTATAGGTATGTATATTACACATACAAAGTAAGAAGTATACAAAGAAAAGATGAAGAAAAAAAGAAAAGGTAAGTTTTGTTCTTTATATGATCCAGGCAGAAATGCACTTTAAGCAATGAAACCACGTAAAATGTCTGAGAAGTTTGTTTGGTAAATGCTTCTCAAAGAAAATAACCAAGGAAGTATTAAATTTTAGTAATTTACTGGATTTCCATTTAACCATTCAGTGAAAGTCTGCTGTGGTCTTCTAAAATGTAGGAAAGATGACTTTGGGGAGGGGGTCTGCTACAAAAAGTTCACCTAATTTTAGCAGGTGTTTTGGCTTCATCAAGCATGTGTAGTACAGAGAATCAAATCCTACTCTATTAGCACTTGAATGTGTTTAATGAGATTCCAGTGGGCAGGATCTTCCTAGCTCTTAGAGGGAAAGGGGCAGCATGTTATAGCAATGGAAGCAGTCAGCCCCCAAACTGGTCGACCCATCCTTAACTGGTGATGATAAAAAACACACCAAATGTTTCTACAGCATTCTTTCTGCTGCATTTTCTTTATTTCAAGCCACAAGTCTACTTGGAGGATCATGCAGCAAGTGGCTTATAAATAAATCAGAGTCTATGAATAGTGTCATCACATTAAGAGAGAAAATTGCTGGATGCATCTTGGGGATCCATCAGTTCTATTATTTATGGGATACCTAAAATGGGGGACAGAAATCACATATCAGTCATGCATACATGCAATATAGGAGATAAAGTAATGAAGACTATTTTATCATTTACTTATGTAGAAATTCACTAGGATTTCTAAGTAATGTTCCACAATCAAAACAGAAAAATATAACAGAAAAATCAATGCAAATCTGAAATCAGCAAATATTACTATTGTTGCTAATTGTTTATCAAGAAACGATTTCCAATGTTCCGAATTCTCAGCACATGTTAAATGAGGAAAAACCTAAAGATGGTGACCACATATTTTTTAGAAGTTTTTTTAATTTAGACACGTATTATATCCTTTAGCTTAGAGAGTTGCTCCATTTTCATAGAGACCATGCCTTTTCATGTTGACATGATACCAAGAGAAATGGGTAGGGGTGAGGGGACTCAGCAAAAACATCTGTACAGTTTCTTGACTTTTCTAGATCATCATTTGGTAGCCCTAAGTACTTAGGATAATGGGATTTTTTTCTCAATAATTTCTTTGTGAATTTCGATTACAGTTCTGATAGGAATGTTTAATGTCTTCTATTAAACATTCCCCAGAAGCATAAAGAGAACAAACATCTGCTACTTCCATATAGACTTGTGAATACAGAAGCCTTAGTATAAAGCATAAATACCAAAATAAAGTATTATTATTACTAGCAGATGACTTTTGAACAAGTTTTTCCTGAATATTTGAATACAAATAATATAGAAAAAGGTAAGATAATATAGCTTTAAATTTTCATGCAAGTAACTCAAAATTCTCATTAAAGGATAAACTAAATATTCTGCTGATATAAATGACTTTCATTACACATTTATATATCACTAGACTGATGATATCAAGCTGAATAAATTGTTATATTTCCACACATCACTGTTCTCCCCCCACAATAATAAAGGTTAAGTTTTATATTTTCAAACCAGGTCATCATCTTATTAATTAAAAGGTCATTTAATAATCATGAAGTTTTCTTTTAAATATATAGAACAAGAAACAAATCATTTCCACTTGAGTCAATTAGCTTCCAAATGGCTACTATATTTAACCCAGCTTACAGTATGCTCTTTATACCATGTTGCATCATTTTTACTTTTGTAAGGATATCTTTAGAAGTTAATGTGCAAAAATAATAATTCATTTTCATTCCAACAAATTTATTTAAGCAATCTTTTTTAAAAAGTTCAGAAAATGCAGGCTTTTAACTAAAATGAAAATGAATACAAATCAGCCTCAGTTTTAAAATTTTACAGGAACTCTGCTAAGAAACTGGAAAAAAAATTTTTCCAGAATTAAAACATTAAGATGTGCTTAGCAAATTTTCAAAAGTATAAAAAACGATTCATACACAGTGGAGAGCCAATTGTCAAAATTATACATTAACTTTCCTTAGTAATGCTGAAACCCCTTTTCTATAAACATTAACAGTTGAATATAGCCTCTCAAAGCATGATCTACAAAAGTAAAAACCATTCAACACAAGCACAGTCTGTAATTCTAACTGCTCCCAAAGACTAGTTGGTCTAACTAATTGATTTTCCAGGTTCCTAAACTTTGGAAGAATAAAAAACATCAGAAGCTTTCTGCAGAGTTATACACAAATACATAAAAACTAACTAATAAAATTGTCTAATTTAAAGAGTAACTAACCTGAGATGTACCTTGCTCCGATTAACATTACCATGCTACTCACTATAAAAAAGCCCAAGGGCAGACTACAGAAGATACTAGGGTCACCTGTGGTCATCCAAGCAGAAGGGAATTCCAGTCAAGCAAACCAAAAGAGAGACATATAATTACAATATTTGTGTTAAGAATCACATGATAGCAAAACAAGTTATAAAATAGTAAAAATTCATGAAAGCTAACAGTTATTACTTTAAATCAAAAATGTAATCAATATTAAAGGCTTATGACAGTTAACAAACAATACAGATAGCATGCCACAAGTAGCCAAGAACATAATACATAAAGACCAACATTTGCCTTCCACTGGCAGAGCCAAAGAGAGGCTATAGATAACTTTTTGGGAGGCTGTTAACTTTAGCTTTCTTGATTCTTTCCCCCAAAATACTAAATGAGCAATCCAGTCGCCCTAGAGTTTAAAAGAGGTTCTTTGGCTGTCAGAGAATTACATTTGTCTACTGACTTAAAAATTTTGTTCTTGCTAAATCTTGGTTCAGTGTTACTGCAGATGAAAAATGGCACTGTACTAATCTACACTTTTAAACTAATCTACACTTTTAAACTCATCTAAGAACAAACACTTCAATACTTTGTGGTCTAAATTTTCTAGGAGTCACTCCCTTTAAAGATTACTTTATATATACACACTTTCCTTAAAAAATGGTTATTTAACATTCTTTAAAAGTTTATTCAGAAATAATATTTAAGAATAAATAACTGCTGTCATTAGACAAAGGGGCTGTGATCTCGGGGGCAATATATTTTGTCATATTTTGTATCTGGGCGCTAGTCAGCTGATGATGGTCATTGCTTTGTTTTCCTGGGAGAGGACTGCCTTCTGCCTGTAACCCAGCATGAATGTCTCCCTTTAAGACAATAGATGATAGATTTTCACTTTCACTAAAGAGGGATATAAACCATTTCCCTCATATTATCACTGCATTTCATATTTTCAAGCAAAAACAAGCTCTCTTTTTGTTTCCATATTCCTTAAAGGCTGCATTTTATTTTACAGGTATTATTTTAGTTCTAAATTGAAATAGTTGGTTTTTCTGATGACCCTAACTAGATAACCTGCATTCCAGAGTCTTTTTCAAATGAGGGGGCGACTAGGCATTTACCTGTGTTGTGTGTGTGTATGTGTGTATGTGTTATACATACAGAATGACTTCAAAATGCTTATGGAAAATTAAACTAAATGATAAGCTTATTTTGGTACAAAATTTTTTGAAATCCTTTCATATGATTTCCATAACATGAATTCCTATGAACCTTTTCAAGACCACTTGTTTGTATAGGATATGTTGAAAATGCCTATAATTAAACAAAGATTATTCTGAGTTGATTGTACAACTTAGTGACATCCAAAATAATATACTTTAGTGTTTACAAAAAAAATCAATTTAAACCATATTTAAAATTTTTTACTTAAATCCACTGTAGTTTAACTAAAACAAAAGCAAATTAAAAAATCTTAAACTATCAAAAAGTCAAATTACTTTTATCAATGCTGATAATAGAAACTAAAGAAATAATGTAATTTTTCTTTTTCTATCGACTTTTTTTGGCATCTTAAATTCACTGATAGTAAGGTATACAAACATAAAATGATAAATTGGTTTTGTGGGAATTTTGCAACTAAAATACCCTAAGCTTCTAGAAAGGAGAACTGCATATGTGTGTGTGTGTGAGGTGTGGAAATGGTGAGAGGGACAAAGGATGATTGTGCCATTTGTAAAAGTCCAGTTGGGTAGAGAGATCACATAACTCGGCTTCTTTTTACTTTTTTAAGAATATTTTTAACTTATTTTTATTGGAATGTTAGTTTTATAAAGAGTAGAAAAAACAGAAAGATCTTCCATCCAGTGGCTCACTCCCCAAGCAGCCGCAACAGCTGGAGCTGAGCCCATTCAAAGCCAGGAGCCTGGAGCCGCCTCCAGATCTCCCACATGAGTGCAGGGTCCCAAGGGTAACTGAACTTCCTACCAAGTATTACTTACGGGCAAGTAGAAAAGGAAATCAGAGCCCACGTTTGTTGTGTCTTACCTAACAACCAGTAATGTTAAAAGAAAGTTATAATTGACAGGTTTCATTGTAGAGGTTCTCAAAACTATAGTCATGGGGAAGCTTTGACATTACCTTTGGAAGGCTATCAATCCCACAAAAATTTAAAGGATATTAAACTTATTTAGGAGAAAAACCAAAAGCTTCAAATAGAAACATCCAGTACCAAAAATATAGATCATAGTATTTCGTGATAATGGGTGATTTTAGAGGTTTCTCCTAAAATCTAGATACATTAGAAGTAGTTCTGAGCCCTGTACAATAGCCTAGTGACTAAAACCTTCGCCTTACATGTACCGGGATCCCATATGGGCACCGGTTCTAATCCCAGCTACCCTGCTTTCCATCCAGCTCCATGCTTGTGGCCTGGGAAAGCAGTCAAGGACGGCCCAAAGCCTTGGGACCTTGTGCCAGCGTTGGAAACCGGGAAGCACCTGGCTCCTGGTTTCAGATCTGCTCAGCACCTACTGTTGCAGCACCTTGGGGAGTGAATTAGCAGCAGATGGAAGATCTTTCTCTCTGTCTCTCCTTCTCTCTGTAAATCTGACTTTCCAATAAAAATAAATCTTAAGAAAAGAAGTACTTTTACATTCACTTTGAGGTTAGAAGGCAGGAATTATTTCATTTCAAACTCTATTAAAATACATTCTTGAATAAATCAGTAGCCATTTTCCCATTTATTTTGTCCCAAATCTTGCATTCATTAAGAATTACAACATATATCCTACTAAAGATAACTTAAGGCTGCTTAAGCTTACATGGTTTAGTGAAATTGAATACCTTCTTACATAAGCAAGTGAAAACTAATGTAGTTCCCTATTTTCTCTCAACAGCTTTTCCTCTCTGTTTCCAAAGGAATTCCCAGTATGCTCATTTCTTAAATACCTGGTATCAGCCTAGAAAGTAGTGGAATATATTCTGAAATTCATTTAACTTTTCAGTGGTTCAGGAGACAGCCTCCCAAAAAGGTAAAGTAAAACTGCGAGAAGAAGGGAGGGAAAGAGGGCTCTAGCTGATTTATTTATTATTAAGAAGAAACTAGAAATAATTTTAATTTAGTAAAATTCAGTTATCAAGTGGAATCACAAAAAAAAAAAAAACTCTAGAAGAAAAATGCGGCAGAGGACAGAGTTGAGTTAACCTCATAACCTGATCATTTCCATTTGTTTAGAACTTCAAAGTATTTTCAAAATGTGAGATTGGACATAACTACAATCAATGTAACTAAGTGTAGATGGCTAGATACTTAAACTATTTAGCATAATAAGAAAAGGTGGCAGTAAGAAATAGTACAAATACTTTTTTACCACTTTCTGGAGACTGTGTTGTCACCCAACCCATTGATTTCATCACAGCTTTCTTCCAAGTAGAATATCGAATTTCACTTTCTGGAATTAGAAAGTAGAAAAAACACACAGGTGAAAGGTAGTTTGCTGACATGTTTAATGTATCACACTTATGATAACTTGGTTGGCATTCTAGATAAATTAGTGCACATTAAAGTGAAGCTGAAATTGGGAAATACATGATTACTAGTAACTGGCAGTTGCTGGAAGTGATCTTGCTTGGAAACTAGAGTGAAATCTTCAGCATTGGTCTGTAGGGTAAAGGGAGATTGGGAGACACTACAAACAAACCTGGATGGATTAGAAAGGGGAGTCCCATCTGTTTCGCTTTTTTTTTTTTTTTTTTGAGAGAAAGGGACTTAGCATGAGGAAAGGGGTATATTATAATGTGCATAACTGGAGGGAGAGCTGTTTTAGGGACAAAAGAATAAAATCTGATTTCTTCTAAGATTCAAATTTCTGTGACATGGCCTGGCTCCTTAAAGTAGGATTTCCTTCCAGTGGAAATGTGAAGAACCTGTGCCTATGCCTTGGGCTACCCGTCTCTCAAGTCCCTCAGCCTTCCACTGCACCCGAAGCCTACAGTGCCCAGGAGACAGGACTGCAGGATCACTGCTTCTGCCAGCTCCTTTCCTGCTTCCTACAGCCCTGCATGCATACCTCAAGATATCAGTTAACACAGCAAATGTGTATGTTTTTTCCTACCTATCCAATGTACTTGAGTCTCCTGAAAGGTAAGGACTTAGCCTTGAACTCATCTCTGTAACTGTATATCAGACAGAGTCTTTGGCCTGTAGTTGCCTGAAATAAGGTGCCCGTGCACGTGTGTGTGTGTGGTGAAAGGGAGGATGGACACATCTGGCATAACTGATTGGGTTCAGTTAAGGTCAAACAATTATAAAGATGGTTCTCAGAAAACAGACCTTAATAGTGATTTGCATAAAGATCACTTCCTTTTAAAAGTATGATTCGGTGCTGGCACTGAGCATAGCACATTAAGCCTTTGTCTGTAGCACTAACATGCCACATGGGCACTGGCTCAAGTTCTGGCTACTGCACTTCCAATCCAGCTTCCTGCTAATGGCCTGGGAAAACAGTGGAGGATAGTCCAAATACTTGGGCCCTTGTACCCTTGTGGGAGTCCAGGAAGAAGCTCCTGGTTCCTTGCTTCGGATTGATTGGCTCTGGCTGTTGAGGTCATTTGGGGAATGAAGGAGCAGATGGTAGATATCTCTCTTTCTCTGTAACTGCCTTTCACATTAAATAAATAAGTAAGTAAGTAAATAAATCTTTGGGGAAAAAAAAACGAATTTAAGAGATTTGTTTTTTTTTTTTAAATAACAAAAATAAAAAGAATAAAGTGTGACTAGATTTGGAGGCAATATCATTTCTAAACTTTATTTGCTTATCAAAATTTTTGATATTTGGGGGCTGGTAATTTGGCATTTTGTATAAAACCACTATCTGCAATGTTGGCATCCCATATGGGCACCAGTTCAAGTCTCAGCTGTTCCACTTCTGCTCCAGGTCTCTGCTCATGCACCTGGGAAAGCAGCAAAGGATGGTCCAATTGCTTGGGCCCCTGCATCCATGTGGGAGACTCAGAAGAAGGTCCTGGCACCTGGCCTTGGATCAGCTCAACTCTGGCAGTTGCAACAATATGGGAAGTGAAAATCAACAAACAAAAGATCGCTCTCTCTTGGTCTTGCTCGCTCGCTCTGTTTCTTGCCTCTTTTTCTGTTACTCTGCTTTCCAAATATATTTTTGATGGTTTTTCAGAAGCAGAAAATCTTCTGAATTTCATGTTTTATCCAGTATCGAAAAATTGAAAAAAATTTCTGTATCAAGTGACATGGTATACTCTGATTATAAAAATAAAAACATTGGTATTCAGGGCCAGTGTGGCAGCACAGCAAGCTAATCCTCCTCCCTGTGGCACTTGCATTCCATTGAAGCACCCATTCATGTAACAGTTACTCCATTTATGATCCAGCCCCCGCTTACGACCTGGAAGAGCAGTGGGAGATGCCTGGCATCAACTCTTCTCTGGCTGTTTTGGCCATTTGGGGAGTGATCAAGCAGTTCGAACAGCTTCTCTATTTCTCCTTCTATTTCCATAAAATCTGCCTTTAAAATAAAATAAATAAATCTGAAAAGGAAAATACTGGGCTCTGGTTTGTTTCTTGGCTGCTGCACTTCCAATCCAGCTCCCTGTTTATGGCCTGGGAAAGCAGCAGAGAATGGCTCAAGTCCTTGGGCCTATGCACCAGAGTGGGAGACCCAGAGGAAGCTCTTGGCTTCTTGTTTCAGATTGGCAAAGCTCTGACCATTGCAGCCATTTGGGAAGTGAACTAGTGAACCAGGAGATGGAAGAACTCTTTCTCTCTAACTCTGTCTTTCAAATAAAAATAAAACAAATCTTTAAAACAAACCAACAAGCAAAAAGTATTATTATTGGGGTTTGTGGTATGGTGTGGTGGGTAAAGCCACCACCTTTGACCCCAGCATCCCATACAGACACTGGTCTGTGTCCCCAAAAAGAACAACAGAAGATGGTCTAAGCACTGGAGTTCCTGCATCCATGCTGGCACACCTGGATAGCTCCTGAGTCCTGGTTTCAGCCTGGCTTAGTGCTGGCCATCGCAGACATCTGAGGAGTAAAGATCTCTGTCTCTTCTCTCTCTGTAATTCTGACTTTGTATATAAATCTTAGAAAAACTCCATATAACTTATTTTCTTACATCAGGTGAAGAATTAATAAGATTAAGAAATACTGAAATATTACAGAAAATTAAACAAGATGTATCAGAAAGCTTATTTAACACTTCAAAATCCTCTGATGCTTTCATGCTTTTATAAAATCAAATTCAACATATATTATTTTTCAATTCACATTTATGTTAATTTAAGAGATGTATCAGTGTTTTATGAATGTGTTGGTCAGGGCTTGCAGCTTACCTCAATATCTTAGGACTATTAATCAGACATTTAATGTTCATTTAGTTAAATTGCTTCTGCATCCTACTGTACTTGAAGATTACCAGGATGTCTCAGAGGCCCACTAATGACATCTAAAAGCTGGGTCATCACTGCCAAAGACAACCCAGTAGAGACATTAGGGGTAGTCAGCTAATGACTCATACCTCCCTTATCACTTTTCAAATAGGAAATTCTCACAAGCCATAATTGACAGTGTGGCAACATCACTCTCCTACACAAAAGGCCTGTAAACAGTAAACATCACTAGTTTTAAAAAGCCACTTTCAGGGGCTAGTATTGTGGCACAGCAAGTAAAGCTGCCACCTGCAACACTGGCATTCAATATGGGTAACAGTTCTGCTGCTTCACCAATGATTTAGCTCCTTGCTAATGACTTGGAAAGCAATAGAGGATGGTCAAAGTGCTTGGGCCCCTGCAGCCACACGGGAAACCCAGATGAAGCTCCCAGATCCCTAATTTGGCCTAACTCTGCCCTATCTGTTGCAGCCACTTAGGGAGTGAACAAGCAGATGAAGATATCTTTGTCTCTGCCTCTTCCTGTCTATGACTAACTTAAACTTTCAAATAAATAAATAAATTTTAAGTGATCTTAGAAGGGTTTTTATAAAGTATTATTTCAATAGCACTCAGAATAAACCATATGTGCCTAGCAGCCAAGTGAGCAACAGTAACATTTGTAATTTTTATTTTGCGTCTTGGCTCACAGATAAATATAAAGGCAAAATGCCCTCCGCTAAGGTCCGTTTCACAGTATACCACTATTTCACAATATACCTTGCATGCACCAGGATCTCATATGGGCATCGGTTCATACCCTGGCTACTTCACCTCCCTTTCAGCAACCTGTATGTGGCCTGGAAAGCATCTGAAGATGGTCCAAAGCCTTGGGACCCTGCACCCGTGTGGGAGACCTGGCGGAGTCTCCTGACTTTGGATCAGCTCAGCTCTTGCCATTGTGGCCACTTGGGGAGTGAACCAGCAGATGGAAGATCTTTCTGTCTTTCCTTCTCTCTGTAAATCTGCATTTTCAATAAAAATAAATCTTTTTTTAAAAAAGGTATCATTCTTTAAAAGTACCCTCAGCGTTGATCTGAGGCTCAAACCTCTCCATCGTGACAGCTGATAAATCCTCGGGTTCAAGACTCCACACGCCTACTCCTTCTGCAGCCCCAGCTGCCATGGCTGCACCCAATGCAGTTGTTTCAGGCATGGAGGGCTTGACTGAGGAGAGAGAGAACCACATCAACATTTTTGCAATTGCATATGCCTAGAGAACCAGTTCTTGCCAAACACTGCTTGTGTAGTTGAAAGGAACAAAAGTTTACTAACCTACAGGGATATATAAAATGTCTGCTTGTAGCTGCATCAGAATTTTATTGCTGGTCATTCCTCCATCTACTTGCAAATGACTGAGTGGAATCCCACAGTCCCGATTCATGGCATCCAAAATCTTAGAGAAAACATGCAATTAGCATAATAAAACTACTTTCTAGTAACACTCTAAAAATGACAATCCTCTGTTTAATAACCCTCATGAGCTTCTCAAAGTCTGCACAATAAAATCAGGACATTGTACTGTGGTCCTCCAAGCCCTCCTTTGCTCTGGTCACCACAAACCTCTCTTACTACACCAGCACATTGACCCTGATGTGCAGTGAAGCTGGAAAACTCTATCTTGTACCCTGGTTTCCTTCTTTGATGTCCACATTACAGCTATTTCCTCTGTCTAACCAACAAGTAATTCAAGAAGTTTGTAGAAATGGCAATTAAATATTTTGCTGCAGAGGCAAATATGAGACTCAGTGATTAACACATGACTTGAAACGCCCAAATCTTACATCAAGGTTCCTGGATTCAAGTCATGGCACATTTACTCCCTGCTCATGTGCACCCTGAGAGGGCAACAGGTGACAGATCCAGCACTTGGTTCACTGGCACTCACATTAGAGATTTATACTAATTTTCAGGCTCCTTGCTTCAGAATGGCCCAGCCCCTATTGTTGCAAACACTTGGAGAATGTACCAGCAAATGGGAGATCTCTGCCTCTATCTTTCAAATAAGTTAAAATAAATAAGTATTCAAAGTTACAAAACATAATTTTGCTGTAAAATAATCTTGAAACCCATGCATATGCAAAGTCTTTACAGACATCATGACAAAGCTATGCATGTTTTTCACAACTTATCTGCACCAAAAAAATCCTTATTTTTCAATTCTGTTTTTTACAAACTTTCTGAAATAGCCTCGCGGATACTACTCAGTCTCCCTTCAATCATGAAATGCCCAGAAGTCTAGCAAATAACAGGAACTCAAAGAGAAAACATAAACATTTAGACTAGTATTGAGGCAGACTTAAGTACATTTTTAGTATTTAATAAATATCAGGCAATAACACATAACTCATCAATGAAAAAAGTAGTTTAAGTTCATGGAAATAAGTCTATATCCATTACCTCTCGGGTTTGGAAGCAAACTGCTTCCAAAGCAGCAAAAGCAATGTGGCATTTATTGGTGAACTGAGTGAGTCCACAGATTATCCTAAAAACATACAGAAAGATTTGCCCATGAGAGTGGTACAAATGACTCATTGCCCTGAAGTGTCTTTCTCGAATATGAAAAGCAGAATTTCATAACCGCACAGGTTTGGGGTGGGCAGAGATGGTATTTCCGTGGAGTTAGGCTGCTACTTGCAATGATGGTATCATATTGGAGTGACAGTTCAAGTCCTGGCTGCTCTGCGTCTGAGTCATCTTCCTACTCATGTCTGGGAAAACAGAAGATGGCCCAACCAGTTGGGTCACTAAAATCCATGTGGGAGGTTAGGATGGAATTCCTTGTTCCTGGCTTTGGCCTGCCTCAATCCCAGCCATTTTGACCATTTGGGGACTGAACTAGTAGATGGAGGATCTCTGTGTATGACTTCCTCTCTGTCACTCTGCCTTAAAAGAGAGACATGCAGGGAAAGAATGTTACACATAACTATTTAGCTACTTGGCATACACCTTTCAGAGGCTTTGAAGATCAAACATAGTAACACTATCACAAATCACAGCACCCACTATGACCACTGTGGGGGGTTATTGTCAGCTGATTTATAACCACATGGAGCCAAACCGTTCTGAAATTTTGATCTCCAAATAGAAGAGGCATACAAAAGTGTTCCACAAACACTTTATGAACTTATTTGACAATAAATAGAAAACATTTAATTGGTTTTCAACTAATTTAGTAAGTAAGAAAAATCCCTAAAAAGTATTTTATATTTTCAGTATACTTACCCTCTTGCACTGGGTTCCCAGTAAGGTGCATATAACCCTGAAAATGCCGGGACAAAGTAGCAGCCATAAGAAGTACCTACTTCTTTAGCAAGTTTTTCTAACATAAAAAAAAAAAAGAAAAAGTTATACTTATGTCCTATTTTATTGAATAAACATGCCCACTTAAAAAACTAGGACAAGATTTTTTTTTTTTTTTTGCTGTTGTTTCAAATTCCTTGGTATGGAATAAAGTTCCTAACCTATAGTAGTATTCTAGGAGTAATAGAAGAATGTTCTCTACATTGTACACCCCTACTAAAATGTTTTATTTTATTTATTTATTTTTATTGCAAAGTCAGATATACCGAGAGAAGGAGAGACTGAGAGGATGATCTTCCATCCAATGAGTCATTCCCTCAACAGCGACAACAGCCGGAGCTGAGCCGATCCAAAGCCAGGAGCCTGGAGCCTCTTCCAGGTCTCCCATGTGGGTGCAGGGTCCCAAGGCTTGGGCTGTCCTCGACTGTTTTCCCAGGCCACTAGCTGAGAGCTGGATGGGAAGTGGGGCCACCGGGACACATGCTGGTACTCATATGGGATCCCGGGGCATGTAAGGCAAGGACTTTAGCCACTAGGCTACTGTGCCAGGCCGTACCCCCACTAAAATGTAATCCAGGTTAAGACATTAAGGAATATGATTTGTTTCCTTGCAGTATTTTAGATCATCAGCATTTTGAAAGTCTCTGAGAGATGAAGAGATGTCTCTCTTGAATCCCTAAGCAGAAATGCATGTTGAATCCCTACATTTCGGAAAAGTTAACAAGTAGATAAAAGAGTATAGCTGGGGCCCAGTGCAGGAGCCTAGTGGCTAAAGTCCTAGCTTTGCATGTGCTGGGGTCCCATATGGGTGCTGGTTCTAATCCTAGCAGCACCACTTCCCATCCAGCTCCCTGCTTGTAGCCTGGGAAAGCAGTCGAGAATAGCCCAAAGCCTTGGGACCCTGCACCCACATGGGAGGTCTGGAAGAAGCTCTGGGCTCCTGGGTTCAGATTGGCTTAGTTCCGGCCATTGCGGCCGCTTGGGGAGTGAATCAATGGATGGAAGACCCTCCTCTCTTTCTGTCCTCGTCTCTGTATATCTGACTTTCCAATAAAAATAAATCTTCAAAGAAAAGAGTATAAGCGATTTCAAGCTAATCATCCACAAACAGAAGTTGTCATACCAACATTAAGATAATAGATGTAAGAAACTGAACATTCACTCACATCTAGGAGCTAATGCTCTTTCTTAACATACAGCTTTAACTAGACTATTCTACCTGCAGATTCTGACAATCTCCAGTATTCAATATTGCACTTAGGTAATTTTTATGCCCTGTAATGCTACTTTCTTCATAGTTACCACTAATTGTGTCCATCTACTATTTTACAAAATTTCACAAACTAGCCAACTTTCTGCGTAAGTCAAACATACAATAGTGATTCATATGATTTAAAGATCACATCTGGGGTAAAACAGTAAGATTTAGATTAGATTAGAGAGGTAAAATATTACAATTTCTCACTCTTCAGCATACTTACCAATTTCCTCTGAGGACTTAATAATTCCAAGATTATCTCTTAGCCAGCGAATAACAGCACCTGCTATAGCTACAGAACCCTAAGGGGGATAAAAAGGAATCCAACATATAATATATATTGTAACTATACAAGCTTTTTATTCAATATATTCTGTGCATATAACCCTGGAAACGCTGGGACAAAGTAGTAGCCATAAGAAGTACCTATTTCTTTAGCAAGAAACAGAAAGTAGATCATTGGTTGCTTAGGCTTGGCAGAGTGGCTACGGGGTTCTCTTTGGGGTGATAAATGTTTGGTAAAGACAGACTGTGGTGACTGCTGTAAAAATCTATGAATACCTTAAAATCCATTGAACTGTATACCCTAAAAGAATAAATTCTGTGGCCTATGAATTATATCTCAGCCAAGCTATTATTAAAAAGACCATAAGAACAAAAAGTAATATAAACCATTAGGAATTCTCAAAACAAACTTTTGTTTCATTTCATTGATACAGATTATCAATGCAAATTTCACTGAGTCACTATAAACCAAATGGTCTGTGATATTAAATCTAGGAACCTGTAATAGTAAATGTAGGCACCTATCCCCAACTCAATCAACTGAACTAGAAATAGTCACCCCTTTCTGCTAAGCAGCACTGTGGTATATCAGATTAAGGTGCTGCCTTCAATGCGGGCATCCCATGTGGGTGAGAGTTTGAATCCTGGTTGCTCCATTTCTGACACAGCTCCCTGCTAATAAGCCTGAGAAAATAGAGGATGGCTCAGGTGCTTGGGCCCCTGTACCCACATGGGAAACCCAGATGAAGCTCCTGGCTCCTGGCTTCAACCTGACTGACCCCAACTTTTGTGGTCATGTGAAGAGTTGGGATGGAAGACTTCACTCTTTGCCTCTGACTTTGTCTCTGTAATTCTATTTTTCAAATAAATAAATAAATCTTTAAAAGAAGAAAATCATTTTCACTTCTCCCATCAGGAGTGCGTTACTAAAACTGAAGACATAAACTGAATGGAAGAGAACTATACATATAAACACATACCTGAAAGGAGTAGCTAATTTTGCTATAGGATATGAAACAAGGTATTATTTATCCTTTAAAGAATTTAATAAAATGAAAGAAGCTTCCATATTTACAAAAGACATGTGATCTTTTGAATTCAGAGTTAGAAGATAAAATGAAACATGATATAATTCTTCAAAACCGGATAGGAAATTGTCCAGGAACAGATGTTAAAACTTATACAAAGTCAACTTGCTATCAATTAAATTACAACAAATTACATCCTAAACATAAAGGTCTAATACTTAAGTACATCAACTATGATTATGAATGGCCCAGAACTTAGCTATAACTTATGATTAAGAAAATATAGCAGGCAAGGCCAGCATAATGAAGCAACTGGCTAATCCTCCACTTTGCAATGCCAGCAGCCCATATGGGCGCTAGTTCATCTTGGCTGCTCCACTTCCCATCCATCTCCCTGCTTGTGGCCTGGGAAAGCAGAGAAGTACAGCCCAAAACCTTGGGACCCTGTACCCATATGTCAGGCTTGGAGAAAGTTCCTGGCTCCAGGTTTCAGATCAGCTCTGCCTCAGCTGTTGCGGCCATGTGAGGAAAGAACCAATGGATAGAAGATCTTTTTCTCTCTGTTATCTCCTATCTGTAAATCTGCCTTTCCAATAAAAATAAATGTTTCTTTTTTAAAGAAAATGTGGCATGCAAGACTAATAACTTGCTCTTTGAAAGACACAATGGAAGTAGAGGGTATAAAGGATAATAAACTAAATAACAGGACAAGAAGAATAAATTATATTTCCATGCCTGGAAAGTGAAAGGCTGAGAAATAGGCCATGGGGAAGGGGGGCAGCTGTTTGTGGAACAGTGGGTTAAGCCACACTTCAGAAACCTGCAGCCCATATCAGAGTGTCTTGAATTCAGTCCCACCTCTGCTTCAATCCAGCCACCTGCCAATGTATGCCCTGAGGAGTACATTGCTACCACCACAATCTGTTTTAGGATCCAGTAGATTTGTATCTTACAAGGCAGCTGGGTTAAAAACGGTGGGTGTGAAAAAAATCATAAAACACAGATTATCCTTAAATTGCTTAAAGCATTCATGAGGCACAATAAATGTAGTTCTATTTATACTACACTGTTAAAAATCTCTGCATGTGTAATTTATACTGTAACTAATTTGTACATATTTTACTATAAATGCAATGTCTAACCCTATAGCATTTTTAATGGCAGGGGAAAAGAGAAAACAGGCAATATTTACTAAATGTAACATAATTCACACATCCTTCAGCAACAAGTTAGAGAACTAGTATTAAAAGCCTAAATTGTTTTTTTTTTTTTTAAAAGCCTATACACTAGGCCTGGCATGCTGGCACAACAGGCTACTCTTTCACCTGCAACACCAGCATCCCTTATCGGCACTCGCTGACGACCTGGCTGCTCCATTTCCAATTCAGTTCCTTTCTTATAACCTGAGAAAGCAGATGACTGAAATGCCTTGGGCCCTTGCACCCATGTGAGAAACCAGGAAAGAAGCTCCTGGTTTCCAGCTTTGGATCAGCTCAGCCCCGGCCATTGCAGCCATTTGGGGAGTGAACTGGTAGATGGAAATCTCTGTCTCTCCTTCTCTCTCTGTAAAAATCTGCTTTTCAAATAAAAACAAACATTTCTTTTCAGTACATATTGCACAGAAGGCATACTTTTCAAGAAAGCACATTATAAAATCTTATACTCTGCTAGGCAGTCTTTTACAAAGTTGATAGGGTACATGTGCTGATAGAATGTGTTGACCTTGAAGAAGTAGGAAGACACTCTGAGTACCCTTGTGTGGCAATGAACAACAGATGGTTTCCTGGCACTTAGGATAGCCTCAAGTTAACAGCTAGGAAGAAATCCAAGCCCTCAGTCCCACAACCATAAGGAAGTGAATTTTGTCAACAGTCTGAGTAGGCAGAGAACCTTGAATGAGTATACAGCCTTGTGTAACCATAAGCAGAACTCACCATAGCTGAGCTGTGACTCCGAACCCATGGGAACTAAGAGGAAATAAAATGAGGCTGGCACATCAAAAACTTGTATATATTTATGGGGTACCATGCAACACTTCCACACATGCATAACTGTGTAATATCCAAAATGTATTATTCCAAGCCGATTAAGTCTGAGATAGTATTGCTGTGTAGCAATACTTATCTAACACACAGGCCTGTGTTAATAGACATTATTTACCTCAAGAAGAATGAAAAACTCCATAAAGGAAATCATAACCCTATAATTTTAACTCACATCGAGGGATATATGAGGAAGATACATTTGTAAACAATTAACGTGCCATAGAAGGAACCCTTTGGAAGATCATATTTGAAAAGAAAAAATATTGCCATAACAGAATTTGCTGTGTAAGCAATATTTATGGTCTATCATGTATCTATAAGCCAACCGGAAACTCACTGAACAAGACAAACAAGTACTTTGGCCTCAGGAAACTGACATCCTGGAGACAGAGCACAGAACACGGAAGTCTGAAAACCTAAAGCAGCTTAATTTCATCATCATAGTAAAGTATGTCCTCCTTGCAATGAATTTGTTTTATAAAGCAAGATTTTAAAAAGGAAGAGAAACATAGAAATAGAGAAGTACCATTTCCGTAAGACAGTATACTACTTAACAACGTAGACAGCAGAATCAGTTAACTGCTCTATTTTGCTCCAGTCTCTTCTACCACCAAGAAAAAATCTTGCAAGTAGAAAGAGTGAGACAAAATTTGGCAGTTTAATACAAGTTTAAACTTGGATGAAAAATTCAGGGATTATATGCTCCAATACCATTTGATAGATAACAAAAATAAGCACTCAGAGAGTGTTAAATGACTGCCCTGGAGCAACCTTCTGGTGCTTGAGAGAGAAAAAAAAAGAACGTGAGGGAGGAAAAGGATGCTGATGTGCATATATATCGACAGAGACACTGAGTTTCTTCTTCAAAAATCCTCACTGTTGTGAACACAGAGAAGAGCACACAAAGTAGAAAACAGTAAGAGACAAAAACACACGCTGACTCAAATACAGAATGATCCACATGGCCAGAAGTGGAAATGCAAGACGGAGCATGATGAATCCACCAGCATGACCTGATCCATTTGCATTCGTCAGGGAGTAGGAGTGGTGGCCAGCCAACAGGGTCCTCCCATGTCATAAATACTTCTTGTTTCAGACAGGGAATAGAGTTGAGCTCAGTGCTTAAAGTCAGAGAGTAGCCTACACTTTTCTATTTGTGTAGGGATCTGGAAAATTAAGCAACGGTCAGTTTGCTAAGGCTATGTATGTCTTGAAGGGATATGGGACTAGCAGTAAAAACTTGAAAATACATGGAGAAATCTATATTTTAAAAAATAAGCCAGGGGCCCGGTGCGGTGGCGCAGTGGTTAAGGTCCTCGCCTTGCACGCCCGGGATCCCATATGAACGCCGGTTCTATCCCGGCGGCCCTGCTTCCCTTCCAGCTCCCTGCCTGTGGCCCGGGAAAGCAGTTGAGGACGGCCCAAAGCTTTGGGACCCTGCACCCACGTGGGAGACCCGGAAGAGGCTCCTGGCTTCAGATTGGCATAGCATTGGCCGTTGCATTCCTCTCTGTATGTCTGCCTTTCCAATAAAAAAATAATAAAAATAAACCTTTAAAAAAATAAGCCAGAAAAACTTAACAGCAGGATTAAAAATCATTCATCTGATGAAGATATTTTATATACACTGAAAGTGTTCCACAAGAAATAAAAATGTCACTTTCATTAATACACAAAATTATGAGCTACCAAAAATCAACTACTGTGAAAAACAGCCATATAAAAATCTTGAAATGTTATATTATTGTACTTATATTTATATAATGTATATTATATATAAGCATATACAGAAGTATATATATAAAAGCTCATTATATTATAAATGTAGGAGCCAATGTTGTGGTATAGTGGGTAAAGACACCACCTGCAATGCTGGCATGCAATATGGATACTGGTTTGTGCCCCAGCTGCTCCATTTCTGATCCAGCTCCTTCCTAGTAGCCT